GCAAACGAGCCCAGAGACGCTCCCAGCGCCGTCAACACTGTCATCATTCCCGATGTCACTCTCCCCAAGGTACGTTGTATATACCTTCTGATTTATCCTGCCACGGCAGAGAGACTCTCCTTTGTGGGACTTCGACTTTACTCAATGGCCGGGATTCTTCGGGTTTTGTAGCGGAGGAAATAGCCGGGCTGACACTCATGACACAGGAATTGCACGAAAAGTACAACAAGTGGGGCAAGGACGGCTACCCTTAAAGAATTATAGATACCTACGTTGAGAAGACGTGTTTTTGCACAATATGTGCAATGGGCGGAAGGTGGTTTTCGTGTGTAGATAGGGAGAATTCAGTTTTATCCACGTTTTTCTACCTTGGACAGCATCTCCAAAGTTGAATCTGCACCACTCGGCCATGCGGCTCATCAAGCTACCTTATCCGATTTTCTGTGCTCGGAGACTGATGAAGCAAGATTTCATCTGAACATATTTGCAGTAGGAAACTCAATGGCATGCAATTGAATCATGAGGGCAAGTAAAGAATACTCCCAAAAAGAAAAAACAGCCATGCCTTCCCTCGGTGTCACCCAACTCCCCAAAACACCATTCGACTTACGCCCACAACACCACTCCCACACACACAAGAGTCTACACAAAGTCCCCCCGCCAATCTACAAGGCAAGCTGCTCAATCTCATCTCCCGTGAACCCAAAGAGATACAACAAGTCCAACAAGCTCTCGCTGTTGAGCCTCGTATCGGCTTCCATCTGCACCCTCGGCTTAGCGTTCCACGCAACACCCAAGCCCGCCGCGCGCATCATCAGCAGATCATTTGCGCCGTCGCCCACGGCAACGACCTGCGACAGATCGATGCCCTCCTTGGCCGCAATCTCAATCAGGAGGTCGTGCTTCCGCTCCTTGCCCACAATGAGACCCTTGACCTCCCCAGTGAGCTTACCAGCATCGTCAATGACAACCTCGTTGGCGTGCGCATAGTCGATGCCCAATTCGCCAGCCAACCAGCTCGTCAGGGGTAGGAACCCACCCGACAGCACCGCGGTCTTCACACCGAGGCGCTTCAGGGCCTTGATCAGACGGGGCACGCCCTTGGTGACATCCAGGACAGGCCGCAGCTGCTCGAAGCAGGAGGCCGGAAGACCCTTCAAGAGCTGCACGCGCTCGCGGAACGCAGCTTCGAACTCGAGCTCGCCGAGCATGGCGCGGTGCGTGATATCGGCGACGCGCGCGCCCAGGTCGGGCGGATCCTTCAGCGTCGCGGCCATGAGGTCAATGACCTCCTGCGTGATGAGCGTGCTGTCCATGTCGAAGACAACGAGCCTTGGGTGCCGGCGCCACAACGTATCGGGCTGCAGCGCAACGTCGACGCTCCACTCCCTCTCGAAGCGGTAGATGAGCTCATGCCGCCGCAGGTCCGTCAAGCTGAGGTAGCTCTGGCACGGGGCCGGGTCGAGCGTCAGCTCGACGACGCGCGGGCTCTCCTGGCTGTCGAGGCAGTGGTGAGAGGAGCTGTAGTCGGACTCGCCGGCGGGCAGGGGGAAGGTCGACATGAGGTGCAGGAACGAGGTCACGCACATGGGCGAGACGTGGGAGCCGTACAGGTGGTCGAGCTTCTCGGGCTCGAGGGTCGGGGGTTCGAGGGGGAAGGACTCGGGGTCCTGGGTCGGTGCGAAGTTGGCCGGGAGGGACTCTTTGCCGCTGGCGCTGTCGGAGGTGAGGGTCGGGGGGGATGCGACGCCGCTCTTGTTCTGTCCACCGCCGGCGGCCGCCGTGTGGTGGTCGCCGCCGTTCGGTTTATAGAATAGCGTGGCCACCAGGCGCGACTGCTTCTTTCCAGCCGCGGGCGCGCAGTTGGGGTGCGAGTAGCTGTGGTTTAGGCCGCTGCGGATGGTGGGCGGGTTGTCCTCTGAGGGGATGCCGTTGAAGCCCGCATAGTGCTTGTGGTTGGCGCTGTGATTGTGCTGCTTTGGCGGGGAGACGGAGACGTTGCTGAGGTCCTCGACGACAGTGTCGATGCCGAAGCGGCTTTCCGGGTGCTGCGGAGGCCGGTACTGCTGGTGCTCGCGCAGGAAGGAGCTGCTCCTCATAGATGAGGTCAGCTGAGGTCGGGGCGACGTCGTCGACTTGGCGGGGCTTGCGTCGGCCATGGCGGAAATACTCTCTCTCTGGTCTCTTCCTCTACAGCGGGGTTCAAACTACGGTAGACTAAGACGGAGACAAGGCTGAGACGGGAGGGGGGAACGAGGCACTGAGAGACGGGACGGATAGCGGACGATGCAGGAAGAGGAGGAAGGACCTTCAGCAACAGCTGTCGGCGACGGCAGCGGCGGCTTGGAGGATTGCGGGGAGAGAAAGAGAAAGGAAGCGCGACAGGAAGAGAGGAGAGGGGGGTAAAGACAGAAGCTCGGAGCCCGCGTCGTGGTAAACGTAAAGCTTAAAGACTCAGCTCAACTTATCAGCCCTCATTGTTTCGAAAGGTAAAACATGTCTGCGTGGTTGGACGACAGACGGCCAGAGGAGAGGATGGGGGACTCGCGGCGGAGGGCTGCGCGGGTCGCTGGGCACTGTGAAGTCTGACTGTGTGCCCCGCCTCGCCGTCACTGGTCCGGATCCGAACGAAGCCCCGTAATTCCCGTGTCCCGACGTCTTGGGCGGCGCGCGATTGGCTGAGCTGGTGTCGCAATGGGCAAGCTCTCCCGTGGGCCGTGGCTTCCCAAGTTCCCGTAAGTGGACGCCAGTATCACGTGGTTACCCCTCTAAAATTTCTGTTCTGAACTTTTGATATGCTGAGGGGGAGGGGGAGGCCCGGTCCGAATGACATGGTGAGGCTCAATTACATCACTCTGAGGTCGGTCAGTCACTTTCCAGGTTCATATCAAGGTGAAAGGAGAAAACTTTGGCCAGAAGTCCGAACACGTGAGTAGGGAAGTTTGAAGAGAGCGAACTCCCGCCGATCTGCGGGACCATCAGCCTCGCCTGGATCTACCGACGCCTGTCATCAAGGGGAGGGGACGTCAGAGAGGGATGCCAGGACAGCCCTATCGCCGTACTAGCATACGCAGGACCACGCACTGGCCTACCTTCCATGGCTTAGCCCAGGCCACCTGCGTTGTTGGCAGGCAAGCAGTCACGCAGTGCAGGCTCGTCTTGGCCTTTTGTCTGCTGGTAAGTTTGTCATCCACCAGTCACCGCGACGACCGAAAACTGATCATTGCTTCAGGAGCTGGCTCCGCTGATAAAGAATCGGAGCCGCGCGGAAATAAGACGCACGCTTGCACCAGACACCCAACATCATACACTGTCCGCATCCAGGAGACTAGGACACATGTCATCTGTCCGGACTCCGGAGCATATACTCCACGTCCTCTCTTGAGGACGGCGCAGGTAGCCGTAATCGGCATGTCTGTCTGCCTCTGCGTTGGCGAAGGGAGACAGAGAGCGGCGCAGGCGGCGGGATGAATGAGTGGTCACCCAAGTGAGAGCCTTCTCAGCTGTCCCAGGACTCATTACCATCTCATTCCTAGTTACTTGTAGATGTCGAGATGTTGTCCAAGAAACAAAGGGTCCAAGAAGTCTTGGTCTGTTCAGTTCCTTGTTTGAAGTACCAACTCCGAGTCATTGGACTCTATTGGAACGAAAGAGCGTCTTCAACATCTCACTGACAGAGAGAGAGAGGCTCGTACTCCAGTCATTTTAAGAGGCGCTGGACGCGGCGAATACTGAAGCTTCCCTCGGAACAAGTCGGTAAACGAAGGGCGTTTCCGCGGTGTTAACGGTCGAAACGCGCCTGGTGTTGAAACCCAACTGTGGGTTTGTCAGAAAATTTCGCGGGCGGGCAATCATGGATGATGCCCTCGATCGGGAGTCGAAACTCGTATGGTGACTGGTTGAGCGATGGAGATACGTTGTCCAGCGTGGGATGCTGACACGGACGAGAGGCGCAAGACCACCTCCTCCGGCTCACCCACACCGACGGCCGGGCGGGTACCGACTACCGTGCCGCGCCGATGTGTTTTGTCAGGACCGATTGCCGGGACCACATACACTAGGCCAAGCCGACTAGTGGCCCGGGCGGAATCACGTCTTATGGCATCATCATGGCGAACTTACACCAGCGTTTCTGTTCAACAACAAGATCTCCCTCCTTTGAGCCCCTATTTTCGACAGCGCTCATCGTGAATTAGATACTGAGGAGATCATCAACTTCGGTAGTCACGGAGGAGGAGCCCGGCCCCAAATATCTATACTTTGAACGTCACGGCTCCCGGCTTTCGGGGCCGGCTGTTGGGGAAAGTTTGCCATTGTCAACATCCACTCCGGCGTCCGGGGCGATGGCGCAATTGCGGGATGTTCGACGGTACGGAGCAACCCCTGCGACCCATAACCAATCATACTGCACAGTCTTCATCACGAAAGGTTTAGCGTCGATGTCGTGATTGCTCCCAGACCACGCCTCTTGCTTAGAGATGCAAATTCCTCAGCGCTTGTTCAATGCGGTGCTCCAAACAAGCTGCGATTGCGCAATAGTTGGGAAGCGGGCTCTGGTGGTCCGTCGCTTTTCCCTCAGTCCCTCTCGGCCTTTGGTTTGATCGGAGGCTGTTGTCTGAGAATGGGTTGGAAAGCAAATTAGTAATGTTGCTTGGTGATGCCCTGTGCCCAACATGAACAAATCCTCCTCTTCCCGCCTCTTTAACTCGCGGTGTAAGTTCTGCCTGCCTTAAGTGCCTCTTGTCCTCATAAAACAACTACTGCCTTCCTCCTCTTCTCTGATCCGAACATCTGAACTCTTCCCCAACTCCAGCATCTTGCGTCATTTACCTTTTTCCATCTTGCCTCTTGATCCAGGCCTTCTCGAGTGAAATATACCCCGGGTTTTCAACACACACCCTCTTACAACCACTACTCGTCATATACCCGTGGTGCCTTGCAACCACACTCTGTTCCGCTCGTCAACCCCCCTCCGTCAACTCTACACCACCTCACACACAATGTCTGCCGTTGCTGAGCCCACAACCCAGACGTCCTCCGTCGAGTCGTCTCCTCGGTTGAACGCCGTCGACGCTGCAAAGCTCGATCGCACCGAAGTCGAGTCCGGATACGGTTCCGCCACAGATGCCTCATCGACGTCGTCGTCCATCCCCGCGCTCCCCTTGATCTCCCTCACCCAACCCCACCTGAAGCACCTCAACGACCAGCTCGAGAACATGCACCCCCTCGACATCCTTCGCTTCTCAAAGATTATGTTCCCCAACCTCTTCCAGTCGACGGCCTTTGGTCTCACTGGCCTCGTCACCCTCGACATGCTCTCCAAGATCCAAAAGGAGAACCCCTCCGCCGCTAACGTCGACCTCATCTTCCTCGACACCCTCTACCACTTCAAGGAGACCCACACCCTCGTCGACCGCATCCAGGAGCGCTACCCCAACGTCGCCCTTCACATCTTCAAGCCCTACGGCGTCGCCTCCACCGAGGAATTCGAGGCCATGTACGGCCCCAAGCTGTGGGAGACCGAGGCCGAGATGTACGACTGGATCGCAAAGGTCGAGCCCCTCCAGCGCGCCTACCAGGAGCTCGGCGTCGCCGCCATCCTCACCGGTCGCCGCCGCTCCCAGGGCGGCGCCCGCGACAAGATGCCCGTCATCGAGGTCGACGACGAGCGCGGCGTCATCAAGATCAACCCCATGGCCAGCTGGTCCTTCAAGCAGGTCCAGGAGTACATCAAGACCCACAACGTCCCCTACAACGACCTTCTCGACCAGGGGTACAAGTCCGTCGGCGACTGGCACTCCACCGTCCCCGTCAAGGAGGGCGAGGACGAGCGCGCCGGCCGCTGGAAGGGCCAGCAGAAGACCGAGTGCGGCATCCACAACAAGAAGTCGCGCTACGCGCAGTACCTCGAGGAGATGGAGCGCAAGGCCGTCGAGGCCAAGGGCGCCGCTCCTGCGTCGTCGACTGAGGCGGCAGAGAAGGGCGAGGCGGCCATCGCTCCTGTCGTCAAGGCCGAGAAGGAGGAGCAGGCTATCGCGTCGATCTAGAAGCGCTTTTGGCTCTGTCGCGAGCGGTTTCGGATGTTCTTTTGTTTTTATTAATGACCTGTATATACATGATGCATGACGGCGTTTAGGGAGCAAACAACAAAAGTCAAGGGACGGTACGGGACAGCATGCAGGCGTTCCGGATGGATCCGGGCCAAGGGCCAGGAGGTATCTCGCATTCAGCAGATACTAGATTCTACTTGGTAGATAGCATAAGCAAAAGACATTATGAATCAATCACATCGATCAAACTAAGAGATCTTGAGTGAGACGTGACGTGAGAAAGAAACGTGGTGAGGCTCTAATCTCTGTGTCCCACAGAGACCCCGCATTCGGAGGATTAGTGGAAACCAAGGACAGCATATCCTAAGACCGTAACAGAAATGCGTGTAAACTTGGTGTGGCAAAGATAAACTACTGACATGTGGTCTACAAAGCTTAATTTTTCATATCTAGATTGGTTCAGATGACATCTCGTGACCACTTTCCAAACCCACTCACGATGGATTACTCATATCACATTGTAGCTATCGTATAATTATCCCCTACTCAAATTTGGATGTCTTTTAACCCCAGGAACAACAGGTGTATCACTGCGTTGGATAGAAAATACGAAATGCTTAGACTTCATTCATAGCCCCAGGATGACGAGACTGAAAGGATATTAAGCTGGATTACAAACATCTTCTGAGTTTCTTAGGAGAAACTCATGAATGGACCTCACAGGAAACTATTTGCTCATACAGAGTAGTCTCTCTTCCAAGTCTCACCCAACTTGGATGAAATCTGATGTTCTCTGCTCAAAGCCCCCCGGTCGGCCCTGACTAACAATGAATGATGTTCGTGGCCAGGGCAGATTTTGAAATTTGTAAGAAATGTGACTTCACTGCCTTCCAACGATCATGCACGATGAGATCCGAAAAGGAGTGCTGTTTCTTTTCCAGGCTAGTCATGAGATATAAGTGGCAGTCAACGAGTCGATGAATGTTCAAGCAGTTTGCATAGCTCATAGGACAAGAATTCATGATATCTTCGCTCATTAAAATCCCTTCTGCGTCTATTATGAATGATCTCTCTTCTCGGCCAATACTAGAATAGCGTTAATTCAACACCTGAATGACCTCAGGATATTCGAATGCTCTTGTAGGCACCATCGAGATCAGATGATGCAACGGACACCCGCGGTCTCTAAGTCATTTATCCGGACGTGCCTCAATGGAGTGCACCGCATGTTCAGACTCACCCGAGTTCTCCCCTGTATCAAACCAGGAAAACAATCAACAACACTGAATCATAGTCATTCGATGAGTAGTATACCGCAGGCTCTGGACATCCAAGATACCGGCGCCGTCGGGCGAATGAGGGGGCATCTACACGCAAAAGCTAGGTACATCGATCACCGACTTGGCAGAGGTCAAGTCAGATTATATATTAAAAACACAACACCATTCGCGCCAAATAACTTGATTCAACGAAGATGTTCTCTGGTTCACTTTCCCAGGGTGGCATCGGATGGTAGGGTAATATACAACAAGCTTGGGTTGGTTCACCGGCTCCCGTCCCGAAAACACACCGTGTATAGAGGTCACGTTTCACACGGTAGAGGTACCTCACAGAACTCACGACCGCACACTTTTTCATCTCACATGAGTCTGACTGCGGGCAGACTTCACTTACACGCAGTCCGGTGACGAAAACCATCTCAACGCCCAACGCACGCCCGACCCCCCTGTCTTCTTCATCTCACAGCGACCGAATTAGTCAAGCTGCAGAAAGGAACTATTCAGGGCCATCAAGGATTTCTTCCCAGGTTTAGAAGCAAAGGAGCACAACCCTCTCCGTTGAAGAAACCCCACCACAAGGAACCCGAAGTTCAAGTCGCGTACCCGTCTACCATTACCAAGTCTACGCAAGGCACAGGGAACATACCATGGCGCCGCAGCAGAAGAAACAAGGTCACCAACAACTGCCCGTCCCACCGGCAACCTTCACCTCCCGCAAACACAAGATTCTGGAACAGCTCAGCGTGCCTGATGCCGAGTACACCGACGCCTCGCCCAAGGGATCCGTGGACGTCGGCATCCGCGAGCTGATTGACGAGCTCAACGCCCTCGACGGACTCGTCACAACTAGCAGCTGCGCGGGGCGCGTCAGCGTGTTTCTCGAGGGTCGCAAGGCGGGAGGGGCTGCGGGAACGGACCAGGGGACAGCAGCAGCTGTAGTCTCATCATCTTCTCAAGACGATCAAGGCAATGATGATACTGCCCCTACCACCGCAGTCCTAGAGACGATAGCTGGACCCGGCGGAAAGGGAGGCGGAGGCACGTGGCTGTTCGTATCGCACGATCCCGTCTCCGAAACGCACGACAACGACGAGGATCTACTGCGCCTGTTTGGTCTCGTGGACGAAGACGCGGGAAGAGGAACAGGAAAAGAACCCGGACAGGCTGTCGGAGTATCGGGTCGCTCTCAGTCTGGGCGACGGAAGCGGCTTGTTCACTTCAAATTCGAACCCATGGTATGCAAGGCCGTTCCCATTTCTCTCATGCATAATTTCATTTACTCTTACATATACACTACTAACCTCACTCGTCCTCATGCCGAGGCAATGTCACACCTCCAAACGTCCCCTTCCTTACACACGTATCCTGCGCAGCAATGAAACTCACATGACTGACACATACATCTCCCCCGCATAGATCCTTCATGTCCTCACAGCATCTCTATCCCACGCCCAGCTCCTCCTAAAATGCGCCCTCACAGCCGGCTTCCGCGAAAGCGGCGCTTTGAACCTCCTCCCCTCCGCATCACAAGACGATACCGCAACCTCAACCTCAGCCTCGTCGTCACCACCCGTGACACCGATGGTAGGCGTGAGAACAATGGGCCTCGCCCTCGAATCTCTCATCGGCTACGTCGATGAAGACGTCAACGATGTTGCCGAGGGCAGCGTACGCCGTCACTGCACCGTCACGCCAGACTACCTCCGCGACCTACTCCACATCGCCAACGAGCGCTTCGTAGAGAACGCCGCCCGCATCGCGCGGTTCCGCACCGCTTTGCAGGAGGCCGTTGCTGGTCCCCCGCTTAAAGTGGGCGAGGGCGGTGCCGCGTGGGAGGAGGCCGATGCCAGGAGGGAGCGGAAGAGGGCTGAGGGTCTAAGGCGGAAGGAGGAGGTGTTGGCTGCTAGACAGCAGATGACGCAGCAGGCTCCGTCAGAGGGTCAGGACCCGATAGAGCTCGTAGCTGAAGTATGAAGCAAAAGAAATAAAGACTTTCATTAGGAGGAACTTGTGATGTGAACCAAAATTCATTCGCCATCTATACACTTTGTTTTCTCTCATATCGTTTGCCCGCCAGTAGCATGTTGTTACACTTTCACGTCCTACTGCCATGCCTCTTTTCTTGATCCAGCGTATCTCTCTTAACCCTCCCCTCATGGCTCACAAGAAACGCAAATAAGAAACCAACCCCTCCCAATCCGTCTCCCACTCTGCAGAGACAGACCTAGAGAAGAAGTCCAATAACGACCCCCCACTCCCATTCCCCAAACTCACGAAACAATCTTCTCAACCCACCCCTTCTCTAACCTCTTCACCTCCACCTTGAAAGCCTCAACCTCCTGCCAGCAATCGAGCGGCCGGCGATCATTATCCCGCAGACACCGCACAACATTACCGCGTGCCGTCTCCACCGCCTCGGGCAAATCGCGCACCTTTTTGCGCTCGGCCAGCTTGGCGCGAAGGGCCTCGACCTCCTTCTTGACGCTCTCGTGGCTGCGCTGGCCCTCGGGCGCGGGCTTGTCTTCGCCGGCAATCTTGTCGTGGGCGAGGCGGAGGGCTTCGGATTCCTTGGCTTGGAGACGCTTCAGCTCCTCGGCGACGCGGCGCTGGATTTGGATCTCGGTGAGTTGCGTGCGGGATGCGTCGGTCTGTTTTTGTTCGGCGAGAGAACAGAGCTCGGTGGTTAGCTTTTTCTTCCTTTTTTTTTTTTTTTTTTTGGATGTTCTGCTTCTTGCGGGAATAGATGCGCCCCCAAAGGGGGGAGGTATGGAAGGTGGAAACGGAGAGCTAGGGTCCGATTGGGAAAATGATGAAGAGCTCTTCATCGGGAGATGTTCGGTTCATTGGGAGGAGGGTGGTAATTACCTCATGGCTGGTCTGCAGGGACTCGACGAGGTCGTGGGAGATGCCGCTGGGCGAGCTGCTGCGCGAATCTTGGAATCAGCCGAACGGATTCTGTTGAACGGAGAGGGTGCACCCGACGCAGGGGGCAATTGGGATGAACTTACGCCTTCCACAGATGTGGAGGCGTGCTGGAGGACGGCTTGGACTCGCTGACACCCATGATTGCGGCCTCAATGGCTGAGAGAGGTGATTTGAATGTTTGGCCGTGATGGTATGGAATTTTCCGGACCGTGACATGCGGTCGTCAAGCTGCAAGCTCCGATGGGCCGGCAAAGGTGCACGTGATAGCAATTGCCTTTGACGACCTTAGTCATCAGACTGGCACGGGCCAGAGCGTTATGGTATCATTCACCATCCCTTGATGCTGTCTGCTTACCTAAGGCATTTACGGCCGACAGCGGGATTTCGGGCCACAATCCAGAAAGATGTCGTGAGTTTTCGGACAGCTGTTGCGGACTGGTGCCGATTTCTGACTGTCCACCCACACTGTCTTACCCACAGCACGCAGTTTCTGAACATTGTTCTGGAATCTTTTGGAGACGAGCACTATCTCCCTAACCAGTGGCCGGCCACATCCACATCAATGACCCCCGCGCTCCTACCACGCGGCCCTTGGACTAGGTATCTCATCATCCCATCATGTTTCAAGGATCGCAGTCAACAGATAGGCGGAGTTGGCAGATGGGGGGTTATCCAAGTTCGCATTCTGGTTCATCAAGATTGAGACAGCACGGCTATCTCGGTCAGATCCATGAAGCGCACCGAGTAGAAGCGCTCACGAACTCCCCCATGGGCGTTGGGCTGCTACCGAGCCCAAGATAGGTGTGCATGCTTCGGCGCCAAGAGGGCGGCAGGGGAAAAAAGGAAGGAGAAGATATCGTGATGAGGAGCTAGTCGCAGAAGAGAAGCGTCTGCGTACAGATAGAGACTAGAGTGACCAAGTGAAGATGAGGAAATTTGAACAAATCTCACGAACCGTCCGAATATCTCGGCTTCATCTGCACGCGTTTGTGTGCTAATGCATGTCAACGCTCACCTGAAGCGGACGGGGCCTGCAATATCGTTGAAACGATAGGTCACCGAACAAGCAAATGACTTCATGGGGGCATCCCCTCTTCGCCCACCGCACGTCTGCAGTCTTCCAGGCCTCCTCCTGGGTCTCCTCCGAGTTCTCCTACTAGGCATGTTGGTAGGTTGCTGACGCCTTGCAGTGGGCGGCTCGCCTCCTTCGCAGAATCCCCTCGGCCCCTCTAGATACTGCGGCCCATCTGGTCGACCCGGCCAGGCGGTTGCGAGGAAGCCCAGTATCCATGGTGGACGTTGAACTTGGAGCCTGGCCCAGAAGAGGGAGGAAGCCTCTTTACGGAATCTGGCTCCGAGGCCAAGTGCTGGGATGTTCGGGTGTGTTAATTTGTTTGCAACGACGCTTAACAGGGACTCCCCGCTGAACTGAGCTGGACCCCCGGTGGGCACGGCTGCGCCGTCACATCCCGCAATTTGTATGCGGCTGGACGAGAATTGCGAGGTCTAAAGGCGCACTTGAAGAAAATTCGCTGGTGGTTTGAAGGGGACGAGAACGTGGGATGGGTTGCCCAGTCGGCTCATCGCCCCGTCTCTCTGATGGAGCTCCTTGTGAATACCCTCGACGAAGTACTGTCTATCTAGGCTTTTTTGCTTGGTTGCTGTTCGGGGGCCATGCGAGGGCCGGGGTGCCCTACGCCAAAAGGGTTGATTGCTATCAAGATCAGACTGAGCTTTGGCTCCTGGCAGGCCACACAGACTCCGCGAACTGCAGGAGTGACAGCAGTCCTCGCTGACAAGCGTGTGAGTTTAAATTTCATTGAGGGGTAGACAACGTCTGTCAAACAGCCGACCGAATGAGTTTAGTAGTGCTGGAGATCTAGGTAACGTTCGATTGCGATCCCTCGGTTAGAGGGGAGATGAGGAAGGGATATCGTTGATACCAGTCGTGGTGGTAAAAGGAAGAAGGCTACGGATACTTTGTTGTCTGGTAGATGAGTTGAGAGCACGGTTAACTCCGGAGCGGTACCATGAGGTGAATGCCACGGCAGAATCGGCCGAGAGGGGCGGCACAGCGTTATGCCTGAGACGCGAATTGATGACTTAGATGAGGGGCTGATTCACATGCTCAGACAGCTTGAGTGATGAATGGGTGGTGGGTTAGGCTTTCGAACTCCTTTGGGAATTCCCTTCTCCTTTGGATATCCATCAGTCCATCAGTTCGTCATCATCCGAGCGTCAATTGCCGTGTCTTCCAGAATTCCGGGAGGGAGGGAAATGGTTGGGTCCCAAATGGATACGACGATAGCTGCGCATGTTATGGCCCCGGTTTGTGCTCAACGTCTGTGTCACCGTTCCACACCACATCGGAATCCGGATGCCTTCTGATACACTAGTATGCAGAACTGAGAGTAGCCTGTGTTGGTGGCCTCGTGGCGCTGGACCGAACGGTTTTGGTCTCGGCTTGGATCTCAACTCAGTGAACCAGATGAAGCCTGGCGCCAAACAGAGCCCGAAGATGCGGATGACCGATGGGGACCAACGGGAATCCAAACGGATGAGGTATTGCGGATACTATCAATGATGTCTCTGGTTTTGGCTCTCTGCCTCTAGAGACATCGGCCGGCTGGACAAGTCGATTCGAACGGTTGGCCTATGGGATCACAAAGAGGAGACCACGAAGGGCACGAGGTCTTTTGGATTGAAATGTCGGTGGCCCAGCCAATGGTTGGAATTTCTTTTGGTTCATCTCAACGTGTTCCTTGGCGGCTGGGCAGAGGAGAGCCTTGTTGGACAGTGGATGAGAGGTCAAGAAGAGACCCGAGAGACCCGTCGTGTTCGGTCGCTTCGGTGCAAGTCGAAAAGTCTTGCAGCTTCGTGCCATGTGCGAAGCCGAGAAGGCATGTCGAGTTCAGGTTCAGTCGGACCCATGGAAGCAGCAGCAAATCAGCAACGGCTCATGAAAAGGATTGGTCGTTGTGCTTGGCATCTTGGGCGAGCTGGCCCAGCTAGCACTAGCCGATAGGTCGACTGGTCGAGGGCGAGCATTCACCCGAACCCCCATCCTTGTTCGTCCGGTCTCTTCCCCTGTCATTTCCTAGCCTGTGTCTGTTCGCCCCTGGATGAGGGCCCCTGGCTGGCTGTCAAGCCCTCTGAGAGGCCTAGTTGGCCCAGTTCAGTCAGCAACGCTGCCACACTGTCAAGCCAAAGAACTGATTTTGGCCACTCAAATCGCTCAGGGGTCGGGACGATGGCGAAAAGCCTGGAAACACTGTGCCATTCAGACTGCGCGTTTGGCCAGGAGCGATGGCTCGGCGGAATCGCCCAGCAGAAGCCAAGGGAGCTGCAGTGGCCAGTTGCAGCGGTGTCCTGAGTTACCGAGCCATTAACAATCAACGGAGTCTGCAATTGTAGTGTACAGCGAGCACACCTTGTTCTGGCGTGGGCCAGATTGAAGTGCCTTTGATCTGTAGACACTGAAGACCCCGAATCCCTGATTTTGGGATGACCGAGGCGTAGGGTGAGACCGGTTGCGATGTGAGATTATGACGATGAAGGAGAGAACATGCCATCCCTCAGCATTCCATCCGTCCCAAGATACAGAGATTCGACGACGAATGGTCCCCGGAAGAACGATTAAGGTGCCGGGTTGTCAACAGACGAGGGAAGCGAATGAAAATCATGGTAATCAACGCGGCCGAGTAGCCAGGGGCCACCCCTTCAGCCTCAGCGAACGGTAACACTGGATCTCAATGATTGGCGACCAGGGATCGACTCCCTCTGAGCCTGTCCCTGCGTGTACAGAATAAAGTGCCTGTGTACGGAGTACGTATCCCCCGGTCAGTGTCATCCCTGCATTTGCCCGTGAGCGACTTGCCTTTTCTTGACCGCTGGCCATGAACCCCCTCCTTTTTTATCCCACTCTCACCTCAGTCTTGCACAAAGCGCGAAGTCCCTTTGCTTCCCTGGGTTAGTCCTGTTCCTGCGTCGTTGACTTGCGTTTCGTTCTCCATTGGCCATCTCCGCTGGGGTCATCAGTTGGCACTGGCATGAGCAACACCGGTGCGTGGGTCGATGTGCAAGGCGCAGTGATTCCATTCCAGCAACCAAAGGATCGGAAGAGGGTTAGACTGACAGCTCGGTGGGCACATGTGGTCTTGGTACCCTTGGAGTTGCTCCTCTTTTTGACCATTGAGTTGAGAATTGCGCGTCTGCAGTACTCTATACGGTTCAGGTGGTAGGACTGGAATTGGTATCAAGCTGACAAGGCAAGTCGCACGTAGCCGCGGAGTGAGAAAAGGGGTACATGGCTAGCGCACCGCGTATGTGAGAGCAACGCAGGTACCAAGCTGTGCCATGCCATGCCATGCCCGACCTTGGTTCGTCGTCTCGTTCGTGCGAATGCTCGGCAGGTCATTGGCGCAGGAGTCCCCGTATCTGTATCTGTATCCTGGTTTGGCAACGGATACTTGCCGAAGCCAGCTGGGAGTGCTGGAGCCTGCGTGTACCTGCGAATAGATGAGCAAGAAGCTGGCAGAAACCAGTCAAGCGTGGGCTGTGAGGTCCAGTCGATCCAGTCATTCCCGTTTGCCCTTGCACGCCACCACAGATCCAGGGGGATTTGGGAATGGACCATGTTGCCCTTCCCAGCTAGAGCCCAGCAGCATCCAGTCCAGGCCGCCCCAAGAGGAGCCAGAGCCTATGTACCTTGGAGTCTTGGACCTTGGTACATAGTAGGAGAGGAGCCTCTCGGCGGCGCTACCAGCCTACCGTGGGTGCGTGGATCCCCCCCCGGCCTCGTCGTGGCTCGCAGGAGGTCCTTCATGGCCCGTCCCAGGCAGTCTCTTAAAAGTACCTTAATCGCCCTCTCCACGCCCGGTGATCCCAACCACTCTCTGTTTTTCCCTCGCCCGTTGTCACGCTGACTCTCTTCGGTCTCCTTTCGGTGAGACGGTACGTTTTCGACTGGAATTCTGGAATTCAACTATTATTTTCTTCTTTGCAAAAGAGAGGCTGGACAACACTCGACGACGTCACACGTATTCTTCTTTTTTTGGTGGATACCGATTTGGACTTGTTTCGAGGAACAAAGGACTGAGCAATAGGAAAAAGAGACAGAGCAAGAGCGCGAAACATACAGCAGGGGGAACCGAACATCTGAGGTCATTGGACGAACACCCACCACCACCACCAACACCAAACGCCAGGCAAAAACGGAAACAACGACCGTTGAACCCGACCCTTCCAACCTCACTCTGGAACTTACAACCACATCACCACCCTCTCTGCACCTTCCTTCCCTCACGCTCTTTTTTCTTGCTCTTTGCACCGTTTGCACCTTCCTTGAAAACATTTTCCACATTCACTAAAAACCACGTGAGATACGTCGCTTGTTGATCACACGCCCCCCCTCCCTTTCAGCAAATCAGCGCTCGGTTTCTGCTTTCGAATATCGAACAAACCACACGCTCGTTCTTTCCCATTCAATCCAAACTCCGTCAGCGGCGGTGTACACTCGTTTTTCTCTCATTCCAAGACAACACCCAAAAAAGATCGCGCTACGCATCACATTCAAGCCATTGTCAACGTCTTCGTTGTCTTGTTTTACTTCATTTTCGTCATCCAGCAATCCGGGCATTTTCAGCTTTTTTGAAAATCCCCATCACTCACTCACCTGCTCAAATTCTCCACACTCGACAGAAGAAATTCCGGCTCCTCAATTCCGAAAAGGACGCGGCACGAGACACTGCGAAGGAACCACCTGAGAGACGCACAATATATTGACGTTGCTTCGTCCCCCGTCTTCTCATACGTCAACTTCAGCCACCTGCCTTCTCTCAATCTGTTCAACCGGCTGCTGCTCGGCCAGATTCAGATCGACCTTGCCTTGATTTGGATCGCCAATACTCCGACCGCTCTCGCTTCCAGAGAAACGATCAGCACAAGGGTATCGACGCAAAAACCATCCGGACTTTTCTTCCACTGGCTGACTTGACCTACCGTCATTCAGCTTCGCACATCACTCACCTCGAGGTTGGACGCATTCCTCAGTGACTCGGTCTCCTGCAGCACCTCGACTCATCACACGTCACCGTCGACACTGTGCTGATACTTACAAAGGCTTCTGCTTCACTTCTTCGGAACAGGCCTGCTATCCCCCGTTCTTTCTTTGTCACTTTGCTCTCGATCCGAAGCACAATGATATTGTGACCGACCGGCACTATCGATAACAATCCGACTTCTCGCTCTCGCGCCTGTAGGACCTTTCTAGTAGACTAAGTAGTAGCCTAGCCAAACCGAACGAGGCTATCTGGCTCACTTCCTCGGGAGAAACGAATACCCCTTCACCTTTCATACTCGACTTTTGAGATTTACAGCAAACACAAACAACACATCCGACCAAATGGATTCTCACCGGCGCAGGATCGCCGGCCTGGTGGCGGATCTTATCCCCACCCAGATCCTTCAACAGCGTGCTCATGCCGCCGCCACGACGGGAGCGGCCGAGGCCTCCTCCACCATCTCTCCTTACCACTCCAACCTTGCCGGTGTCAACCAGCCCGTCAACATGCTGTTCAAGGACATGCTCTGGGCTAGCTTCGGTGGAATGGCAATCCTCGTCCTCGTCATCACCATCAGTCGCATTCTTTGGGCCCAGCTTCGTCACGTCTCCGCCATGTCTGTTGAGGGTGAGAGGCAAAACTACTGGAAGACGGCTCAGTGGAACTGGATGCCCAGCTTAAAGAAACATCTCATGTACGCTCCTCTCTGGAACAAGCGCCACAACAAGGAAATCAAGCTCTCGAGCGCTATTGGCATCGGCACGTTGCCCTCTCGCATGCACAGCGTCATCCTCGGATTCTACATCGCCAGCAACATGATTTACATGTTCTTCCTGAACTGGGAGAATGCCAACCTGTACTCTTTCTGCGCCGAACTCCGTGGTCGCTCCGGCACCCTATCCGTCGTCAACATGGTGCCGCTCATCATTCTTGCCGGCCGTAACAACCCGTTGATCGGCATGCTTCACGTCAGCTTCGACACCTACAACCTTCTCCACCGCTGGGTTGGTCGCATGTCCGTCATCGAGGCTGTCCTTCACACTGTTGCCTGGTTGATTGTCCAGATCGCCGACAGCGGATGGGATGGCGTTTGGCATAGAATGTCCAACGAGCTCTTCATCGGCTCGGGCATGGCTGGGACGCTCGCTCTCATCGTCATCATGATCCTGTCATTCTCCCCCGTTCGCCACGCTTTCTACGAGACCTTCCTCAACGTCCACATCATCCTCGCTTTCTTCATCTTCCTGATGACGTACATCCACTGCGCCGTCGCTGGTCTCCCGGGTGGCCTTCCTCAACTACCCTGGATGATTGCTATCTTCATCCTCTGGTTCCTTGAGCGCATGGCCCGCATTGTTCGTGTCGCTTACATGAACTGGTCTGACCGCGGTACCACCGACGCCATTGTTGAGGCTGTCCCTGGCGAGTGCACTCGTGTCACCATGAACCTCCCACGCTACGTCGACGTCAAGCCTGGCACCCACGCCTACCTGCGCTTCAAAGACATCCGCCCTTGGGACTGCCACCCCTTCTCCATTGGCTGGGTTGAGCACATCCCTGATCACCGCTCGCTGCCTCTCGGCGTGGACGAGGAGAAGGCTACGCTTACCGCCATTGACAAGAAGAACACGACGACCTCCATCTCTTTCATCATTGGTGCTCAGAGCGGCTTCACTCGCGATCTCTACAACGTTGCCCGCCAGAGCGGTGACCGCGCCATTCGCATGAAGGCTTGTGTCGAAGGTCCCTACAGTGGCCATCACTCACTCGACTCATACGGTCACGCTGTTCTCTTCGCTGGCGCCACTGGCATCACCCACGGTATCTCCTACCTCAAGCCCCTCATCGATGGCTACAACAACGGCAGCGTTGCCACGAGACGCATCACCCTCGTCTGGATCGTCCGTGACTACGAGGCCCTTGAGTGGGTTCGCCCCTGGATGGATACTATCCTTCGCCTTCCCAACCGGAAGGATATCCTCCGTATCCAGCTATACATCACTCGCCCTCAGAACTCTCAGCAGATTGTTTCTGCATCCAACACGGTTCAGATGTTCCCTGGTCGCCCCAACATCCCTCTGATTATGAAGCGTGAGGTATCGGAGCAGCAGGGCGCCATGTGTGTCCACATCTGCGGCCCCGGTGCTCTCGCTGACGATGTGAGATCTGCTGTGAGAGAGGTGCAAGATGAGGGCACAGTAGTTGACTTTGTGGAGGAGAGTTTCACGTGGTAGAGGGAAGAAGAGGAAGAAAGATACCCCACAACGAATCCGAAGTGGACATGATTTTCAAATCTTTGGGCGTCAACGGTACCAAGCGGGGAAAAGCGCAGTGTTTTTACCATCTCTTTTTATTGCGGATCATCAGGATCAGATCGACAGGACATGCTTCTCACGGCCGATGCCTTGTCTCTAATGGCTCGCTCTCTTCTAACTGTGTACATATTTCTCACACCAACTCTTTGAGGCTGAACACATGGATGAAAAGGTGGACTTTGGACACCCTTTCTCTCTACGGTTGCCTCTGGCAGTTTTTTCTGGTCTCCCCAGGTTTTCTGGGAAGACATTTTGTCTAATTGTTGGACGTATATATCCCCCCCACACACAGACTTACATCTCCCGCTGCGAGACAAAGCAGAGGGTTGATGTGACCCTGTCGTTGTAAATAGCACCCGCCTGCCATGAAGATAGACCTACCTAGACGAAGACGTCAAATCAGATTTCAAACAAATCTGCCGTTCCCTGGCTGACCATTAAGTGACCTCGCGTGTACTCTGACCAACGTGACGAAGAAGTAACCCATGGCGACTGTAGCTCTAGTTTCTCAACGTATATCAGATATCGTCGCTTCACGCGTTCTCAGTCAAGGTTAGCCTGTGTGGCCCCAGAAAGGGAGTTCAGAGGGCGACTTGTCAGCCACAACCTCCGCATCATAATTACTCATAGTGTCTAGGGTCGCACTTGCTAGACGACGTTGCCAACTACCACTCTCTCGAATAAGGAAGTCGCAAGTGGATGTGCGGAGTCTGAGACATCTGGTTCATCTAGTCCAGCTGTGACTCAGTCCATGACGGAGCTGGCGTGGCCAAGTCAGCCAAGCGGCTGGAGTAGCACGAGGATGGCTGTTTTCATGCGGATATCATACATTGCAATCCGATCCTGGATTCAATTCGTGCTACACTGCCAAGGTCCTGTAGTTGACGTAAGTACTCTGGGAGTTGAGATTACATCTTTAAAGAGGGCTTTAGACTACCAGCCGGGAGGTAATGACCCTCATTGACAGGCTGTGGGGTTATCCATCGTGGAAAGCATCGGCTTTGTGAGAGACCCCAGAACCTAGAAGGCTGCAAGCCAGCCGCAACAAGTCAAATCCAACCTCATCCATTGGAAAGTTTGGTTCCCTTCGATCAGCCTCATCGATCCTGGAGAGTCGCGGTGAAGGGGTTGAACGTGCGATGCAAACCGAGCCGGTCATCGGCGGGGGGGCTCAAAGGGTGTGGGACCCGGCCCCTCTCCGAACCACCACATGGCACACGATAAGTTGAACCGTGGGGTTCCTGCGGAAAACTTGAATAATTTGCGAGCGATGTTCGGAGATGGCTTGGGATGACACGGACGGTTAGGTTCGGCATATGTTCAATGAGAAGTCGTCCCCTTGCACTGTTGATTATCAAACTTGGCTTTCAGATTGAATAGCGAGCTTGCTGCTGTAGGTAGTGGATTCCAAGTGTTCTGGAAGCGCATTGTGTGGCCGAGCTCTGCAAGGAGTGACCGTCTTCTTGGAGCACCTTGGATGGTGAGAACGAGTCAGTTCATGCAGCCTCTACCAAGGATTTGAGAAATCAGACGAAGGCCAGAGCAGAA